TCCATGAGTAACATTGATTTTTCGCTCTGGGATTCTCTAGGCACCCCTTTCCCATCTGGGTGGGGGAAACAATATAATCAAAAAGCAAACACTCCCCCCAGTTTGGGGGCTCCACCCTCCTCCTTCCTCACCTGGTGGGAACGGATTTCAAGGATTCAGGTTGAGGGGGGGACGCGAGCCATCCGCGTAGAGGTCATGATTCCCATGAGTTTTCTCTGCTCTCCCTTTTTCAACGTTATTAAAGAATCCACCAATTGGGTTTTTTTAAAAAATGAGGGTTGAAATTAGAAGGGGGAGTCAGGTAGCCTGCATCTAATCATGGGGGGGCATAAGGTGATGCTGAAGGGGGGTCTGCTGGCTTTGGCTCCCACGGGGCCAGACGACAGGCGCACCCCCACTGAAGCTGAAGGGCCGAGCGTTCTGAGGGACAGAGGCGGCCGAGGATACGCCTTCACACCCACTGCTGGCCCCGCCAGAGGTGACCAGGTCAGCGCCTGCAGCCAGGCCGCTCCCGGGGGCCAGCGGGTGGGCAGGAGACCCTGAGGTCCGGCCCCATCCTTCCTGCACGTGGTCCGGTGCAGCTTTGGGACTTGGCCTCTCACCGTCCTGGTGACCGACTCTGGGCCCAAGGGAACCTGTGGGCGCTCTGCTTCCCTCCTGCTCGTTCCTGCCTGCCTCCGAGGGGGCCTGGATCTGGGGGCGCCCTCGCTGCCAGGCTGCCTGCTGCTGCCCTCTGTGGGCGGTGGTGGGAGCAGGGCCAACAGCTGACACAGAGCACCGCCCACCAGGTTTATTCGGTTGCACATCAGCCTGTTATGCACAAAGTCGAGGAGTCGGGGGGAGCAGGCGCGGGTCCAGGAGCCGCTCAGGACACCAGGACAGTGCAGGGTGGAGGCGCCGTGCAGAAGGCAGCCTGGCTGCACGAGGACAGGTGCGGCCCCTCGGGTCACTGTCCCTCAAGTGGACTCTCACCGAGCTGGGCGCCTCCTGGGGATGGGATGGGGGCCCAGCAGTGCAGCAGGCGGAGGGAAGCCGGGCCTCCCCAGGCACGCAGGGCGGTGGCCCCTGGGGGGAGGTGCCCTCCACAGAGCTGGCCCTCTCTGTGCAGCCTAGCGGGAGGATGCAGGGCCTGCTGTAAAGGGGCGCCGTGCAGGGAGGGGGAGGCAGGAACGCCCTCTCCAGCCCTTCCAGGACCGCCTGGTCTGGGGCTGCAGCTCTTAGAACCACGTGAGCCACGGAGGCGCAGGAAGCCGGGCTCCCCGACGTCCTCCCTCAGGTGCTGTGGCTCCCTCTCTCGGACGGCTCCTCCTGCTGCTTCATGGCCTCCAGGAAGGCCAGCTCCTTGGCCTCCTTCTTCTGGTTCCGAGCCTCATACTCCA